AATTTAGGCACCAAATAGAAAGGGGTTTTTTGAAAGTCAGAACAATTGCAGAAGTGCCCGAGTACATGATGGCTAAGGGCATTTATCATCCATGTCACTGTTGATGGCATTGAGTTAGTACTGCTTCCTTTGATATTATGTTTTAAGATTAAAAAAAAGTTTCACCAGACCATTAAAATTTTAAATTACCTGCTTGGAGTTACCTTTTAGTGGATAAAGTAGAAGAATGGTTTACTATTCTGGAGAAAGATGAAAGGCAAAAGGGCTTGTGTCAACAGATTGAAAATGAAAAGTCCAGGCATTGGGCTGGGAATTATTTCTGGAGGAGAAAATGAAATGGAAGGACTTTGAAAAAAGAAGTTTGATTTTAATCTTCTCTGGGTGGCCTATAAAGTGTCAGAGTGCCTCTAAAAGGCTAAGGAGTAGTGGGTGATGTAAAAACATTCCCCAGCCCTTGCAGACATTTAAAAAGATCATTTTAAAGTACTCAATTCTTTCTCTTAGATGGTATATGTCAGACTCTATCTGAACAATTTAAATAATGCTACCTACAACTAAATTAATATATGTGTTTCTATTTCTTCTTACCCTGTATGTTTTATTTAATATTACATTTATTTTATCCTTAACTCTGATCCTTGTTCTTGAGTGTAGGAAAAGAAAGGTGAAATTATATTAAATTGGGGAGTTCTATTAACTCTAAAAGTGAAATCACAACTTTTAGTAGGTATAATCTTATCTAGAAATAAATTTTTTAGTGGTACAAAGAAATAGACTATTTTTTCTTTCCAGGAAAATAAAAAACAAAAGCAGATCGGTTAAATGTTTGATCTTGTGGTGGCTCAAAGTGGCTCAGATGCTCTTAAGTAAAGAAGGATGAGAAATAAGGAACTAAAGCCTACTTGTAAGTCCCAAGAGCAGTGTGGGACAACTTGCTTGTCTAACTACCCAATGGAATGTTTTAGCAGCATAGACAACAAATGAATAGCTTCAGAATTAACCATTCATTCATTCATTCATTCACTCACTCATCCATCTTTTTCATACAGCAGCAAGTACTTGCCATGCAGGAAGTACTGTGCTAGGTGCTATAAGTACACTATGAGCAAAATTAGGTTACTCCCTGCTCTCATGAAGCTAACTGAATGGTTGGGAGTGAGACATTAATCAAATAATCCCATGAATTCATGATAATTACAAATAGAATTCAGTTCTGTCATAGAATGTAATAAAGAAGCCTGTCTATACTGTGTGGCTATGGAAGTGGGGTTGGGAAGTGTGGTTCATTGAAGCCTTTCCTGTGACAGTGACACTTGAACTGATATTTGAAGGACGAGTAGGAGTAAATGGGGTAAATGGTGTGAGGATGGGGAAGAGCATTCTACACCATGAAAAAAGTAAGTGTGAAGCACCAAGAGTAGGAGGGAAAAATTAAGGCCAGGGAACTGTAATAAGACAGATGTGCCTGAGCACAGAAAAGGAAGACATTGGTGGTGGTACAAAATGCGGTTCAGAATGAAAGCAAAATCCCAACATTGCTGTATATAGAGAGAACTAGCTTGCACATTTTAGGTCTATGAAATTTTGTGAGACTACTTTCATTGGCCAATAAAAATAAATAAAAGACAAAAGCAAATTAAAAAATTTTGAAGTTATAAAAAAAGGAGTGTGGTGAATTATGTCAAATGTATTTGTCCTTAGGCAAAGCCATGGGAGCCTTGAAATGTCACAATAGTAAATAGCATTACTGTTTTTTTTTTCTTTTTGATAAATTCTTTTTCTGTTGGAACACTGAATTCTTCTGTACATATGTATATGTGAACACAAATCAGAGGCCTCCACCTCCTGGAGTTATACAACTTGGCTTGCTTACCTTCGCATGCTAATGATGACTTTTTCTTTAAGTTCAATGTGGAGACTTGAAACTTAAATGTCCCTTTCAATTTTGCATTAAAAAAGAGAGAGAAAGACAGAATCAGGAGTTTTGATTCAGTCAACCACCAGTTCTGGTAGAATCTTGTTTATCTGAGCCATCAACATAAGGTAGACATGATTTTTTCAATAAGCAATTAAAGATCGTATTTGTGCATTATATATGCATTTTGCCATGTATAAAGTGCATTTTTTTGCCCAAATTTTTGAGGGAAAATAAGGATGTGTATTATACATGGGTATAACAATTACATATCATGGGTATAATAATCCTGTGTATAATGTGCACAAAATGTGGGTGTGCATTATACATGGCAAAATACTGTAAATGTAACTTTTTTGAATTTGAGAAATCAAACTTTTAGCAGATAACATTTATATTTTCTTAGGACTTGGCACCAAAAAAATCCATTAATGAGAAACAACATCAGCAACAGCATCTCTGTTGCATGACAATTAAAGTTCTTTTCATTTTGTATTATCTAGGTCTAAAGCAAAAATTTCATAGTAGTATCTGTTTATACTTATTTAATTATGATGAAAATTTTTTTGTATATGTGAATCCATATTTTTAAATTTCTATAGGTAGATAAATCACAGAATAATCATTAAGACTTTAGACCCTTTCAGAACAAAGACCCAGACTTTGTTGCAGGTTCAATGTACTAAGCACATGTAATTTCATAGCTAAGAAATTATATTTTTTGGTGTTATAATAACCCTTTCAATCACAGCATAAATGTGGAATGAATGTGACTACTTTAATTATTTGGGATTATTATCTACCCAATACACCTCAAAGGAAAAGAAATGTCTTAAAATACCTTCCAAATTTATCCCAATGCATTTAGTAGCTTAAAGAGTGTGGACTCTAGTCTCAGACTGTCTAGGTCCAAATTTTGGCTTCCGCACTTGTTGGCTCTATAACCTTGGGCCAGTAATTCAAAGCCACAGTTTCTTCATCTGTAAAATGGGATAAAAATAAAAAATCTGGCTGAAAGGGTTGTTTTGAACATTGAATGATGTACTGCATGTAATGCATTTAACATGATACTCAATACAGAGGAAGCACTCCATGCTTATAAGTTATTGTTGGTATTATTTTTTGGAAGCTTTTGAAAGCTTAGATATTTACATTACTTCTAGACCTACTGGGTTTCAGAGAATTGCCTGGAAATTATTCAGCATGAGTCTTTGGTTTTGGACTGGGAAACAAGTATCCTTCAGTATCTAGTAAATAGGATCTTGCCTTGCTTTTCTTGTTCTTCTCCTCAGCCTGTTGCAGGACATTTAGTAACCAAACTCAACCTCTATTTTCTTCTATGTATGCATTTATTTAATATTATTGAGCTTGTAATATGTTCCAGGTCTTGGGATTATTTAGGGGACCATGATGCAGTCCTTATTCTTGTGAAGCTCATGATTAAATGAGATAGACAAAATAATTATGCTGTAAGCATAATGAATTATAAATATATTGGTGTAAGCAATATATTATTGAAAGAATAGAGATAGGAGTCTTTGTCAGAGGGTGGTGGGTCTCAGGGACCAATTCAAAATAGTTCTTAAAAGAATGAATGAGGGTTTCTAGGCAGATAAAGGGGTAATAAGATACTTTAATCTATGGGAACAGAAGTAACTGTAAAAAGAATGGCCAAAAAAAAAAAAACACAACACAATGTGGCTTGAATATATGATATGTAAGATTATCAAAGGATTTTGTGTCATGCCAAGAAAGTTGATTTTTTATCTCATAAGCAACAATGTAATGGAAGCTTTAAGCTGGAGAGTAAATGCTTTCTAGAAATACAATTTTGGGAGCAATCTGGAGAAGGAACTCAGAGGGGAGTTCTCAGTCTCTACTGCTGTTGTAAAGGATAGCCAAGACGATGCTTTCACAGATGAAGGAAGAAATGAAAAGATCTCGATTGGCAATGGAGGTAGAGAAAAACAATTGACTTCAGGAGATACCCTTAAGCTAGTCAACTGGACTTGGTGACCAGGTGGATCAGGAGAGTCAGGGAGGGAGAAATGAGGAAGACCCTGAGATTCTGAGAGTCACACTAGTGACTCCCTTAAAGGATGAGGTTTGGGTTTGTGAGTGAATAATGAATTTAGTTTGGAAATGCTACTCTTGATCTATCAGATATTTACAGATTGAGATGTCAAAAGGAAATTAAAAACATTTCCTGGAGCCAAGGGGTGGGGTGGGCTTGAGAGAAAAGTGTGAATCACTGGAGTAGAGATGAGAGCCGGAACCTTACATTTAAACGAGTTCAGCCAATGAACACCTCATCTGCATGCCCGAAGCGCTTTTTGCATGGCACCTGAAAGCTGGAAAGTAGTGTGGATATTCATGGGTACTGATAAAATTCTCTGTCCCTCTACCTCTCCCTGGAAGAGTTGAGTCTACTTAATCTCATGTGATTTCCCTAGTAGGGCAATTTCAAATCAATGGCAATGAAATAACTAACGAAATAACTTGTTTGCAAATTAATTAGCTTGTGAATATTTGCTACAAAGTTTTATATCACCTCTGGGATTTTTCCATTTTCTCAAAGAAAATCAATTTTTACTAGAAGAAAATTAATCTTTCATTTTACTTAGAGGACCAAGTGTTGTTTTATTCCCCACTACAGAGTTCCTTGGAGACTATAAACAACTCACACATTGTGTGTGTGTGTGTGTGTGTGTGTGTATTTGGTTTTAAAATTTTCTCATTATTTTCACATTTTTGGCTTTCTTTTTAGCAAATATTAAGAATTTGTAATGGGCTTATTTTGCTGACTCTTTCTACTGATTTCAATCCCTTCTTTAGCTTATGGATAACTTTGAATAATAATGTTAAGTATAGAAATGATGCATATATAAAGTTTTCAGCTGGTAGACTCATAAGAAATGACAATGTTTTTATGAAAGGTGAAAAAAAGTGGTAGAAAGCACACTTTTAGAATTCCTTAGTCAAAGATCAAATCTAACAAAATAAACATTGCAATTTTTAGAACTTTTCTTCTTAAGTCATATGCACATGCTGTGCTCAGCTAAAACTTATCATTGTTTGATTACAGAAAATGTGTAATAAGCACTATCAATAGTTGTGAACTCCGGAGATCTTATCTTTCCATCACTCTGACACCTTTTGGAGGTTTGTGGTTAGAGGTCTGAGTTAAGAACAATAAAGTCAAATTGCTGATTTGTCTCACAGCTGCTGTACTGTGTGCATTTTCTGAATGTTTTTCTCAAAAAGTTTTGAACGAGGGGCAATACAACTACTTACATAGAGTCCTGGAAGGATGGGTTCAGCATGACCACCTTATACTGAAGAAATGTAGTTTAGATATTAAAAGAACCAATCTACAAATAAACTTTTGAACCATACCATAGTGCAATTCTCAGGTGAATATATTTTTATTCAGGGATTTTCTTAATAGCCTCCCCAAAAATGAAAATGAAAATACTTTTATCCATTGAAAAATTCAAAAACCCGAAGAAATCACATAATATACAGAGTCTTATTTTTCTCCTGAAAACATTAACCTATTGTTATCAACAGTAATATTATAAAAATCTTAGTTAGCAGCAGTTAACAGGTTTAAGCCTCTATTGGGAAGATTGTACCCTTTAGATATAGGAGTCAATGTGATTAAGATGTAGTACATGTTCTCTAGAGCAGCAATTTTCAACTGGTGTGTCACAAGAATTTTTAAACCATGCAAAACCTGACTAATTGGGGCACTGACCTCTTTTCCCTTAGATTGTCAAGTAAAAAAATGACAACAGCCAACACAACAATAGCTGTCTGGCATGAATGAATCAAACTTATACCTATTTTCTTGTCAGATGGGCAAAAAAGATATTTTTTGGTGTGTGCAGAATTTTAGAAATAAGTATGTGTGCCATGAGATGAAAAAGGTTGAAAATCACTGCTCTAGAGTACTTATCATCTGGGAGTACCAACAAGAAGTAAACAGACACACTATGAAAACAAAAACTAAGAGTTAATATTCAGATTTTAAGACTCATCAACAGGATTCAAGAGAACATGTTCCTGTTTGTGTTTTTAATAATGCATTAAATACTAAAAGATAGAGCATGGTGTTTATATCACAAATCACTGGCATGCTGTGGTTATGAAACATCTGGGTGTATTGGAACAATTATTGGTCCCAGGACCCCTGTACACTGGGCAAATTTAATTACGGTGCACTCTGGAGATTTAAATAATCAACTAGATTTAAACCTGACCTTCGATCGCTAGACATAAAAGAGCCAAGAGAATAATTAATAATCTCAACAAGTCTTTATGAACCTGGGGTATATTTTCAGGTGAAAAACTTTTTTCTTTAAAACTCAGACAGATGATTTACATTAGAATCTGATATCCCAGTTAAGGAAGTATCCTGGGCAAGATGCTCACTTTTTGGCCCCAAGTTAGCTTGATAAATGTAACTGTAAAATGAAAGCCTTAAATGGATCATTTCTAATAGCCATTTGATTCTGACATTCTATATTCAATGCTTCATCTCCCCAGATTTAAAAATATCTATAGATTTATTTGTCCATCTATCCATTCATTCATTCATCCACCCATCTGTCCGTCTGTCCATCCATCCATCCATCCATCCATCCATCCATCCATCCATCCATCCAAGAAATATTCATTTTGATCTACTACATATCAGGTATTATTATAGGTACTTGGGATGGATTTCTAATAAGATGAGCAAGGTCCCTGATTTTAAAGATTATGTTATGGTGAGGTAGCCAGACAACAAACAAGTAAACAAATAAACCAGATAATTTCAGATAATGATAAAAACTTAATTTCAGGTAATATGCTAGAAGATAACTTGGGGTATACTCTGGATTGAGTAGTTAATGATTTCTAGAGAAGTAAGAAGCAAGTGAAGATCAGAGAGAACATTTCAGGCAGTGAAACAAGTTTCAAAGCCCTGGGATCCAGCTTCTTCTGTTTGTGGGGCAGAAAGAAGAGCAGTATAACTGTAGTGTAGTGTATGGCTGAAATAAATGATATTAGAAAAATAGGGTGGGTCATGCATGTCATGGAAACCAGGGTAAGGGATTAGATTTTATTCTAAGTGAACTGGAATGGCCCTAGATGTTTTTTAAGCAGGGCAATGGCACTATTCAATTGCATATGTTAGAAAATCATTCTGGTTTCCTTGAGGAGAATGGATGGTAAATGGGCAAGAATGACAACAGAGAGTTAGGAAACTGCTGTAGTCTCAGAGAGGGATAATGCTAGTTTGGACAGTTGTTCTTCAGATGAAAAAGAAGTCAATACATTTTACTCAAAATAAAACAGAGACAGGAAATTAGGCTTGATTCCAGTAGACAGATTTTAACAGTGGTCCTAATGAGACTCAGTCTTCATGTGGTTGCCTGCCTTTATTACACTTACCTTGGTTGTTGCTAGTGGCACGCCAACCTTAGATCAAACCCACAATCTTTCACATACCCAAGAATTTATGTGACCTTAGAGACAAATAATCTGAACTGTCAAAGCCATCAGTGGTCTGTACATGAAAGAATCAGAATTGATGTATGATTTCTAAGTATACCAGGTCTGATTGCATATGATGCTGGGCAAAGATTGAATTATGTTACAGGGAATGTGTGTGAGAATGTGGGGATGTTTATAGGATGTCGGAAACATGGACAGACAATGAGAATTTATGAGTGTTGGAGATGGAGAGAGTATGTTAAGGAGAGTGAGGAACATACATAAGAGAGTGTGGAAGAGGATATTTTGGGTGATGATTTTATATTAAGAGGTGGTATGTGAAGAAGAAGGAAGAAAGAGCAAGAAAAAAAAAAAACTTGGTAAAGGAGACATTCACAATTTTTAAATACTGGTATGGCAGAAGAACTGACTGAACAGATTTGACACCCAAGCAGTTAAAACAGACCCTGGCTATAAAAACAGTGCTATCCTATCAGTACTCCTGGTTGAATATTAGCCTTAGAGATAGCATCTAGGGAGGGTGAAGAAAAGATTCTAGCTGCTTCTGTAGTTATATAAAAGTAATGTATAGGTGTTCCTTAAATTGTCTGTCTATACATTAAATGTTTTAGTTATGGTTATAGGTATAACCTCCTTTTTTACTGTTTTTCAAGTGTCACCAAAGACTCAGTAGAATTTGTGGTTAGATATTTGAGCATATCTGTTTTATAGATGCCAAAATAATTTTGAAACAATTGATTAAATGCCATACCTGGTACCTTTACTTAAATCATTCAAATTGCAGACTTAGATTTGCCCTCAAGTGGTTTTCCAGATGGAGAGCTTAAGCATTTAGTATGTGGAAAGTTAAGTCTGGCTTCTTATCGCTACATTCAATAATAAAAAAGGGACCTAAGTAATTTTTAGACTAACTATGATGAGATGAAAAATTAAGCCTGTCCAGGAGAAATGACACTTTGGAAGGAATCTCCAGTTACTCCTTTGATGTCAATGGCACAAACTCTTGGCACTATCACTCAAGAAAACTTTAGGTAGTCTTCCTAGCCCTACCTGAACACTTCTATGGACAAGTAAGATAGTCTCATTCATTTTCATTTTTCTTGACTTCCTGGAACAACCCAATAAGGTGCTGGGATGGAGAGGGATTATGGGAACATGGTTTCTTCCCTGGAGGATCCAACACCAAAGTAATAGCTTTCTTGGTTATTTGTTGTCCCATATGGTGGGTATGTTCTGATCCTGGATCCATAGATAGTAAGTGTTATAAAGTACTTTAAGATGTTTTGGTCTCACTTCCTTATTTCACAGATGAAGAGACTGAAGTCTAGAAGGGTACACTAGTCACAGAGGCTTGCTAATGCCAGAGCCAGAATTTTCCTCTGGTTTCCTTGGGAACCACTGCACTGGACTTCTACCATCCTGTGCTGCTGACCATTACATTTCATTTTGTGTCAGGTTATAAGTCAGTGTGTGGACACAAAAGGGGAAAAGTTGATGACAAAATCATCTTTAGAAATAGAAGACAATGCATTTACGTTTGTTTGTACACACAGTGGCCACAGAAACTTTTACACCAAGATGTTTCTGTGGTTTACTTACTGCCATTCTTAGTCCTTGGGAAATTTACTCTGGTCATTTCTAAAGGAACTGAGAACAAACCCACTAATTTTATCTTCTACAGCAGATGGTAGAGATATAAGCATCAAAACAATAATAGTGCAACATAATTTACTCAGACAAATAAGTCTCAAACAAAACAACTTTCATTGTCATATAATATAGACTTCATCTATTCTCATATTATTAGTTCTTTCCCCTTTGCTTATATTATTCCCTCTATTTTAAAAATAAAATAAGCATTATTTTCTCTATACTTTTAAAACATTTATTTATTTACAAAATCCTCACCTGAGGATATGTTTATTGATTTGAGAGAGAGAAAGAGAGAGAAGAGGGGTGAAGAGAGAAAGGAAAAGAAACATTTATCAGTTGTTTCTATTATCTTGTTTCCCTTGTGTCTGACTATTTTTTAGAGTGTGCTCGTCATTGTATTTAAAAATTTTTTTAAATATGATCTGCGGTCTATGATGTAAGTTTATTCACTCTGGAATAGTTTGCATTTTTATTTTCAAAAGCTTACAGGTAATAAGAATCCAAAATCTTCTTAAACAAAAAAATGAAAGTAACTACTTTTTTCAGTTAAAAAAAAATGAGTAACTCTGGTAAATCTTAAATAAAATCAAGGCAACTAGTGCAAGGAGAGTTGTGGTAAATGAATCTTCTTGCATAATACAACTCATACTATAAATTAGAGCAGTTTCTTCAGTAATATGGCAAAACACAGTGTCATAATAATGTTTAAATAATTTGACAAAATATATTTACATAAAAGCAAAATGTTAAAAAAACCCAATACCTAATAAATTATTTAACAAATTATGATAAATTAACATTATAGCCTTTTTAAAGCAATCATTAAAAAGGATAATTATGATGACTATGTCGAAATGAAATGTTTATGATATAACATTAAATGACAATGAAGAAACACAAAATAATATGTTTGCTATAAAAAACAAGTATATACCTGGGTGATAAAAAGCAAAAATACACAAATATTTCAGAATAAAAAGATATTATTTAGGTATTTATTTATTAATTTTTTTAATCCTCACTCAAAGATATGTTTATTGATTTTTTGAGAGAGAAGAAAGGGGGAGAGAGAGGGGAAAAAACATCAATATGAGAGAGAGATATACAATAGTTGCTTTACATATGTGCCCCAACTGGGAATTGAACCTGAAACCTCGGTTTGTGCCCTGACTGGGGATTGAATTTGTGACGTTTTGGTGTACAGGACAACGCTCCAACTAACTGAGCCACCTGATCAGAGCACAGATCTTAAAACACATAAAGAACTGTCATATTAATATTTTTCCCAAACAATTTCAGCATAAAACTTTCTCACATTAAATAAATAAATAAATAAATAAAGGAAGACAAAGAGCAGTTTGAATTTATAATCTAATAACTCAGAATCTGCATCCAGGCCAAAACAATTTCAGTTTTTTCCTCCTGTGATCCTAATGTAGCTCACAAAAACAACCTTGGTTTCCTATAAGCTTAAAATTTATTTGAAAGAATGAAACAGTAAGTCAAAATTTAGGGCCTTAAGTTTAACATCAGACTTTGATGTAGCTTTCAATGGATGAGGTACGGAGAAGACACATTTCTATCATTTGAAAATGATTCACCTGTTCTTTAAGCTGTAGCAGGAGAGTACAATGTAAATACATACTTAAGCTATTTGTACTTTTAAAAGTTTTTTTAACTACTTCATTCCCCAGATCTCTCCCCTAAACTATCCTTGTTTGACTAAGTGCAAATCCTCCTTCAATTTCAATAATAAAAGTCATTTCCTTAAAGTGGCATTTTCTGATTCTCCATCAAAATTAGAACAAATCCCACCACCTTTATTTGATTAGTACTCCTTGAACAAATTATGCTGCATTACTACATATTTATTTGTTTACCATCTGTTTTCAATATGGAAGCTGCCAAAAGGCAGAAACCATATCTGTTTGATTCATACTTTGTAAATATATTACCTAATATATTGCATATTATATATTCATATACAACAAACAAACTTCTGGTTAGGTTTCTTCGAAGGAACAGTTCTAACTATTGTGTTCTGTGTTTTTTGTTGGGAAGTTCTGTCATTCTGGTGCAATAGAAGTGACCTTATGAAGAGATTACTTTTGGGTTCAAATATAATTACTAAGATAATCTATTCATAAAACATCTCTTTGACCTTGTTTTTTTCCTTTTTATCCAGGAGAAATCAATCATTCTGCCAAATCTGAAATGTTTACATATCACAATGGAGGTATACAAATTTTATGCAAGTGCCCTGAGAATGTCCGGCAATTTAGAATGCAGTTGCTAAAAGGGACGCAAGTGTTCTGTAATCTCACTAAAGCAAAGGGAAGTGGAAACATGGCATCTACTGAGAATCTGAAATCCTGTCAGTTATCCAATGATAGTGTCTCTTTTTTTCTGGATAACTTGGACAGTTCTCATGCCAGCTATTACATCTGCAATCTATCAATTTTTGATCCTCCTCCTTTTCGAGAGATTGTTAACAGAGAGTATTTGCATATTTATGGTAAGACATTGTTTTCATTTTCTGAATGTAAGTGTACATATGCACTTTGACAACTTTTCTCACTAACAAAAACAAACAAATATCTTTTGTGTTGGAGTTCATTTAGGTGCAATTGATGGCAATCACTTATGATGAAAATATGTAAAGGATGATTTATTAATAATTATTATTATTCATCAGTAATATGCAATTTAATCATGTAGACTGATGACTTAGAAATAGGCCATGTTGTCTTTAAAACACATATGCCATTGGAAATCAGTAAAATGAAGACAGATACTGAAACCCATGGCTTAATGACTATTACTTTTATTTACTTAACATTTGTTTTAATTTTATGCTTGTTTGTGGAATGCAGTGAGATGGTTGAAAAAATCACAGTTTTATGTCATTACTTTTCCTAGTTATTCTTTTATAAAAACATAGACAGAAAAGTGCTTTCTATTCACCACACTTGTAAACATATACGGCCACAGAGTCTCTTAGGTTTTAGTTTTTGGATCCTTGCTACAATACTAAAATGATGTTATTTGCTATTTACATGGTTGTAATAAAGACAAGTTCATTTGATTAAATAGTACTTTTAAACTTGGTAAATGAATAAAATAACCTGTGGTTGAGCTCTGAAAGAGAAGATTTCTTAGAACTTTTCCTTAACATATCTTTTTTTCTAACTCAGAATCACAGCTTTGTTGCCAACTGAAGATCTGGTTACCCATAGGATGTGCAGCTTTTGTTGTAGTCTGCATTTTTGGATGCATATTTTTATATTTGCTTACAAAAAAGGTGAGCTATGTCTGTCTCTCTCTGCATCTGCTTTACTGAGGAATATCAGTTGTTATTTATTCATCAAAGTACATGTCACTCTTGCCAGAGTAAACTGATCAACAGGTAGACGGTTTCTTTTTCTCAATATATACCTGCTAATTAAACTACTAACCTGGAACAAAAGTTTATTTATTTTATAGCTGCTTTATTTTAAAAATTATTCAATGGCATTACAGAGATATATTGTTATCATTCAGTAAAAGTGAGGCCAATGAAAGACAAAAAGTTAGGAGAAAGGTAAATACATAAAAACAGTTGTGTTGACTTTTAAAAATTAATGTGGACTGCACATTTGATTCTAAGCTTTCTACAAGTCAGTTCAAAGATGAAACAGCTATGTTTCACTCCGTTGGTCAGTGAAGAAACAATCAGTGAGAAAGTCTTATAAGGAACCAGTAGTAGCTCCAAAGCAAATGACCAGCTTCTTTGCATGGTGAATTATTAGGTCTTATTTTTAAAGAAAACCACTGAAAAGCTATGCAAAAAGATAACACCATAACAATAATGACAACAACAAAAATCTTTCTGTGCTGAGCATATTTTTTTTAGTCTTTCACAACACGGGTTCTCAAAGAACTTATACCATCCTGCATATTATGCAAGTATGCTAATACTCAAGTGTATCCACAGTGTGATCATTGGTCAGACACTATTTGTATCTGTGCCATGATGGAATATAAAAAGAGAAATACAGAAGGAAGAGAGGGAGATAGGGACCGTCATCTAAACCTACCGGGGAAAGGACAATAAAGGCAAAAATGAGGAAGTTAGTTCAGCAGAAAGCTCTTTTTACTTTTCCTATTGTTCATATTTACTTTTCAATATTAGTCTCCTACTTAGCCTGAAGCCAGGAGTCCAAGTCCCATTATAACATTTGTCACTCCACTTCAACAAAGAATCGAAAATCATAAACAAATAGACAAAACCCAAAAATAAGTAAACAAACCAGGAAACAGGGATGGAGATGGGAGAGAGCAGATGACAAACCATGTTTTTTACTTTTTCTTTCAGAAGTACCCATCGAGTGTGCATGACCCTAATAGTGAGTACATGATCATGGCAGCAGTGAACACAACCAAGAAGCCTGGACTCACAGGTACAGCAACATTTAGGGGTTTGGGGAGGAAAGAGCATTCTTCACAGTAAGCTTGGAATTTTAATTTATGGTTTTAATCGAAGAGAAATGCCTCTAAATTTGAATTGTAGTATTTTCTGTGAAAAACTGAATTTTTATTTTAACTGAATTTATATTTTCTGCAGTGCATTGTAAACAAACAAGTTTGTAACCTATCATTAAAAATAAACAAACAAGTTCATAAATCATTATTGCATCAAGGCAATTTTCCAATTGATATTTTAAAAATTTAGATGATTCTAAGACTTCTTTGGTAAAAAGTTCATTAAGTTGTACAATGAGATTTACTTAATATCACTTAAGTGCAAAAAATCTGAGTGATGCATTGTGGGAGATATATAGATATATGGAGATTTTTGACTGAGTTTGGAAGAGAGATCTGGGTTGGTGTTACCAAGGGGAAGAAGGAAGAATTGGTGAAGATATTGTTAAAATATGCAAGTTTAAAGAATTTGGATGCCACAGAAAACCAGTTAGGTGGGACTTTGACCTTTTTTATTAATAGTAAGTGCTGTCAGCTTGAATATCATTAAGTTGAGGAGCATTGAAAAGTTTGAAGCACCTATTGTGGAAAATGTTTAAGTTTTATGCTTTTGAGGTTGCAATGATATGAAGTTTACAGCGAGACAGAAGCCATTGCATTTTTGCCACAACTCAGTGGTGAAGAACTTATATTAAAGAAATGCACAAAACATCTGTCATCATAAAGTATGAGAAAGAACTTTTAGTCCATCTCCTCATTTTTTAGGTGCAAGAAGTTGATGTCCAGGGTGTTCAGTGACTTCTTTGTTTCCCAGAGGTTGAATACCATTGAATACCGTAGCTCTAACAGTAGCAAAAGAAGTTGTGTTTAATATAGCTTTGCTATTGAAAAAAAAATCTCTCTCAGTTTCTTTGCTCATAATAATATGTCTGCCTTGGTTCGGACCCCCGAAAGCAGACCCTGAGATAGAGATGTGGCTGCAAGTAGTTTAGGTGAAAAGTGACCCCAAGAAGAAGGGGTTAGGGAGGAGGGAGGGAGAGACAGGTAAGGAGGAAAAGCAAATGAAGGTTGCATTACTCAGATCTCAGCTAGAGGCCACAGGGTCTCTGAGAAGTACACAGATATCTCTCATAAGTGGGGCATTTAACCACTGGCTCCCAACACCACTGGTCTGAGGTTGCTTGCAGGGCACATTTACCTCCCTCATCCCTGAGCTGCACCCTGTGCTTGAAATGAGCTGGCTCACAAGCCTTCAGGGAAAGCCCTGAGGCGGAAAAGCAGAGAAATGCATGATGGGGCTGTTGCATTGAGAGTACCGAAACAGTTGGCATGCACAGAAGTGTCCACCCCAGCTGTGGCTGAAATGAAGGGTTGGTGGTTTCATGTTCCACCTACCAAGTCTAGCATATATCTTGCAATTATATTTAAACAAAAAATTGTTAAAATGGCCAGAGTGTAAACTTCTTGAGGGGAGTCAGGATCTTTCTTCTCTATATTCTGAAAGCATTACACATACACTATTACAAGCAAAGCCTGGCTCAGCACCTCTGTCAAATATTTATTGAATGATTATTATGTGAATTGCACTGTGCTAAATAATGTATGTTGGATAGAGGGAGGGAAGGCCCAAGATAGTCCTTGTTTTCGGTTTGTAATGTCATTAGGAGAGGTGATATATTTACATGGAGGGTGGGGTCACATGATTGTGTCAAAAGTACTAAATGGGAGATGTAAAGTTAAGATAATATCTGCTATAGGAGTTGAGAGTGGGCTGAGTAAAACTTCATGGAAAATGTGGTGCTGGGTCTTTAAAGATAAAGAAGAGTTTGGATGGGCATGTGCTTGTGTGTACATGGGTGTATGTTTGTGGGTTTACATGAGGCAAAGAAAAGTGGAAAGCTTGTTGAAGGGAACAGGCGCATGGAGAGCTTTTAAAGAATTTATACTAAATTTCTCTTACAGATGTTACTCGTAACTTGGGGCTCTCTAGTCCCCCGGCATGAACCGCGTTGGCCATCTGCCCCTACCTGAAGTGCAAGATTTCCTTTTTTCCTGGACCATGAAGAGTCTGACTTGATTTGACTACATACATCTTCTACTGGTGTTTTGTTCAGTCTGGACCAGTGACTGTATCAGTCAGCAGAGATTTTAATAGACTGCCTCAGTACTGTTGAATTCTAACAAAACAAACATCCTTTCAAAATTAGCTTTATAGAAAACCTGGCTCATGTGTGCTCAACAAATAGACCTCGTTGGGATGGAACCATTGTCTTCACATCTGCTTCTAGCAATGCACCAGCCAGTAAATGAGCACTTCTACAAACATTTTAAAAATATGTCAAGGGTACTAAATCTATAAAGCAAATGGGCAGCCAAGGGCCAGCATCTGTCCACATTTCATGAACAGACTACCTCTTCTTGTAGGATATGCATTCCTTTTTTAATCAGACAATAGCAGGAGATACTTCAAATTTTATTTCTGAGGTGTCATCATGCAACTAAAATGTACTAATACATGAGTACATGGTACTTTTTTCCAACTTTTGAACCCCAGTCCACCACTCCACCAAGAGTTTAGATGCCTTCTACTCTCAATTTTCTGTTTAAAAATACTTCTTCATGACTACTTGACAGATCCCCTGTGTAGGGAGCTATGTCTATATTTTTCCTCTACTCTTCAATAAAATACATATATATATATATAAAATATACATTAATATATATAGCTGCAGACCAATAAATATAGTTTACCTATATTCTTCCTACAAGAATATTTTTGCTCTCCAAATTCAGTTAAAATGGTGTACTTTCTTAACTTGTTCATATTAGTGGTAGGAAACATTGGCCAGAATGAAAAGCAACTTTATTTTATGACCCTGTTTTCTACCATTATCTATGTTTCCAAGGTGCTTTTAATGACTAGCTAGGCTATTTTTGTAGATCATATTACAATTGCAAACAACTAAAACCTTCTGTAACTGTCAAGCATTGTCCTGGGGTAGAGCAATGATCTATTAAGCATGAAAACTGCAGTTTCTGGGGTCACTGTCAAACTACAGCCATACTGCTTCTGGGCTTGACAGGTTGAAATAACCTCTATTAACTGGGAGCAGGGTTGAGAGACTCCCCTGACGTAGGGATAACCAGGTATTCTTGCCCCCCAGAGGCTGAAGTCACCTTAGGGACCACAGTGGGTCAGCCTGCATTTGTACACCAGGATCTATGAAGAAGCACAGATGTGTCAGAGAACTTCAGCATGATTGCTTCTCCTAGAAACCATTCAGGCTGGAAACTGACGTGGCCCTTCAAGATAGTCCTCTTTTGAATACAATTTGATTAGAAAGATTCTTAAATACATGGAATGTGATTATTCTTAGCCTAGATATTTTCTCTATTTCCTTTGTGCTTACCAAAGACTTATGAAACAGCCAATGTGTATTTAAATATTTTTAATAGCTTATTTCTTATTGTATTTTTTCCATTACCATTGGTCACCCTTATACCTTCTCCCACCTCCTCCCACCACCCTACCTCCTGCAATCACCACATTGTTGTCCTTGTCCATGAGTTCTTTTTCATTTTTGCTCGATCCCGCCACTCCCAAGTCCCCTTCCCTAAGAGCAAAATAGAAACAGATTCAATAGAGAATGGGATGACAACTCAACAACATTTTTAACTTCAGGTGAAATGGGATTATTTAGTAGTTTTATAATTTGTAGTTGCCTGCTTATAGTTTACTTTTTAAAAGTGAGATCTGATTTGTCATTATGCATGCTTATATTATTTTAAGAATGTGTAATGCTGGATGTGTACAGTACAATACTGAATTTGTAATTTGAATCAAGTATGGTGTTCTCTTTTCAGTTGACTTGAACAACTTGGCTGGCCTTGCAGAGGTGTTCCCTAAGTTATTTGCAACTTTCTGTGTCAGGGTTCAGGGTGGGAGGAGATCTGATTGTCTAAGATGTGCCCTGAAGCACCCTCATCCTCAGCATGGAACACTTCAAAGTTAATTATTAACAGATACAATTTCTATGAAATAAAAACCTGGTTTTAAGAAGAGCTACCTATGAAATGGATTTTAGTAGTAGTAGGAAGCTAAAGAATAAACATTTGATATACAGCCACTAAAAATACCTCTCAGTGCTTTCTTGGGGCAGGAAAATAGTTACTTTAGCAAATTTGTCTTTGTTCTTGAAGAGAACAATTTGTTATTGCTTAGAATAGTCACTCTTTTCATTTTCTTTCCTTCCTTCCTTCCTTTCTTCCTTCCTTCCTCCCTCCCTTTCTTCCTCCCTCCCTTCCTTCCTTCCTCCCTTCCTTTCTCCCTGCCTTTCTTTCTTCCCCTCCCTCCCTCCCTATTTTTATTTTTTTTAAAGTTTGAAACAGCAACAAACTTATAAAAAAAGTTGGAAGTATAGCAAAACAACTGTTCTTTTCCTGAGCAAGTTTTCTGACCTCATGCCCTATCACATCTGATAGGCAAGGACACTCTCCTCCATAACCACAATCCACTAATGTCACAGGGTAAGCTGTGCAGGGTGCTCCTGGACCTGAGGGTTACTGTCCAGAACCAGTTGAGGAGGGAGCGGGGCTCTGAATCCAGCAGATACTGTCCCAGGGTTGTCACAGATCGGGGGAATAAACACAAGTTGTCGCAAACACTTCCCTGTTTGCCAGGAGAGGAGACATGGCTCTTCCCTCTAGGGGAGAAGGCCCCAAACCCCCATGTTCAAAGGCTTTTATTGAGAACCATATGCACAAGGGTATACAGCAAAGCTCATTAATCAATGTCAAAAGGCTATGTTTACAGAAAACAAACAGAGATCATAGATAACAATTGGAGGAACACAAGAGATCTGCCTCAGGTTGGGTCTATGAATAATGCAAATCTCCTTCCCAGTATGAGCTGGTTATCATAGCTTTTGAGGGAAGAGCAAAGCATACTTAGAGGAACTTATTTCTAGGCCTGATTTTCCCCAGGAACTGCCTGATCCAGTTTAGTGCTGTACCTGCCTTTAGTATTGTTTCAAGCCTGAGCCAGGTGGGCGGGGCAGAGCCACCAAAAGATGGCTTCTTTCACATAGAATGAGGACTCTGGCCATGTCCAAGCTGAGCCGATGGATGTGAGCCTTTTTGCCCTTTCAATGTGTCCCCCTAAGTCTTTGTCCCGCTGCCCATACGAGCCGATGTCTGTCTTAGGTTGTCTCTCTTTGGGAGAGAACTTACCCATCATTAACAACTGACCATCACAGGGCCAAGCAGGGTGATGTAAGAGAAGCAGAGGCTGTGCCCCTGCTAGGGGGACAGGTTTCAGTTTCTTCAGTGGCCTGTTTTCCCAAGGCCTCCTTGATTATTTCCAGCCCTCTCGCCTGTCAGTGGGGCTACAGTCCCTGAAACCAGAGGGGGCGTTTTCCAACAAGCCAACCTCAGAAAGTTAATATTGATACATTGCTACTAATCTGATCCTCAAACTGCATTCAAGTTTTGTCAGATGTCCTCATAATATGTCATAGGAGAAGATTCTCTTCAGAACACTCCCCTGTATTTAGTTTTCATGTCTCTTGTGCTCTGCACTGTGGACAGTTCCTCAGTCTATAGTTTCATGCTTTGGCTATTTTCAAGGTTACAAGCCATTATTTTGTAGAATGTTCCTTGATTTGAGTCAATTGGATGTTTCTTCATAATTAAAATCAGGTTATTGGTCTTTGGCCAAAAAAAGAAAAAACCAAAGAAGTGATGCTATGCTCTTTTCATTGTATTCTATCAGGTGGCTCACAATCTTAATTTGTTACATTATTTATAATGTTGATCTTGGTCACTTAACCAAGGTGGTGTCTGTCAAGTTCTCTACTCGAAAGTACACTTTCCTCTTTATAGTTAATACTTTATGCAGAGGTAGCTGGAAATATTGTAGCTCTTCTGTTCCTCGTCAATGTTTCAATGTATTTATTTGTTCATTTATATCTATATGGTTTCCTAATTTGTCCAATGAGTAAACACATTGCTATCATTATTTTATTTTTATTCTTAAATTGTCCCATTCTTATCCAGTGGGAGACTATTCAAATTAGTTCTTGTGTTCGCCTCACAAGTCCCCATTATTCTTTCAATACTTCCTTGCTTTCTGGCAGAACAAAGTATTCCAGACTGAGCTCATGTTTTCCCTCTCTCAGTGCTGGAATCCACAGTTTCTCCCAGGGGTCCTGGTATCTTCTGAGTGAGCAAAGATTTTTAGCAGCCACGATCTAGGCATTAGTTATGCTTCTTACTATTGGGATTTCCCAGCTCCTGGGCCCCTCAGTGAACAGAACTGGGCTACATGTACATGCACATACATAAACGCAAATATAAATGTAAATGTGTGTGCATAGGTGTGTTCATGGATATGTATACAGATATATACATATAATATTCATATTTAAATAGAGATGTAAATGTGTGTGTGCATATGTATGTTTATGGATTTGCATACATATATAATATGCACATTTAAGTATAAATGTAAATATGTGTAGGCACTTGTACATGTGTATACCAATACATGTGTAAATATAAAATGCATGTAAGTATAGATGTAAATGTGGTATATACACACACACACATATATATGCACACATACACACATTAACATCTATATTTGTATCTGTACCTGTCTATATATGTTTATATTCTTGCTTTTAATTCCTACTCAACACTACAGAGTTCACCCTAGATTTATTCCTTTCTATTATTTGTCCCTCTTATGACAGTGAGAAACCTGACTTTCTTTATCCTTAGTATGTTTACATATTTGATCAATCCCCCATTATTTCATCAACTTCCCATCTCAGTAGTGCCCCCTCCCCCATGCATTAGCTCCCTCTCTCTGCCTGGGCTCCGACTCTTTGATAGGGGAACACAAGAGTTAAATTTTTAGTTTCAGTCATAGTTGATAGGTTTAAGTGATTAATGCATGTTAAAAGCTGTTATTCCAGGAACAGCAATTTAACCCTTGTGACCCAGGAGTCTGCAAGCCATAGAGAT